CGCGTCGTCTACTGTGAGCAGCACGGAGACGACGCGGTGTCACAACTCTTCAGGGTCGTCCGGAGACGATGTAGTGTTACAGCTCTTCAGGGTCTCCTGGGTTGTCTGGAGACTGTGCGGTGTTTCACCTCTTTGGGCTCTTCAGTGGTCGTCTTCCTGGTCGTCGTCTTCCTGGTCGTCTGTCAATTATGGGCCAGAGATCGTGCATATATACACATTGGTGGGCCATGATTGGTTGAATGAATGATAGCAAAAGGTAGGTTATGATTGGTTGCTTTGTGGACCAATCATGAGGTACCGAATATGCAAATTTGAGGGATTCTAGTGGCCAATCAGAGCAAAGTTTCGAAGGTCAGGTTTTTTGAAGGGAACCAATCATGGTAATTGTTTGCTCCCTGAGAAACCTCGGCAGACTGGCCGGTGCGCAGCCTCCCACACAAGACAATCAAAGCTCACGTGCATTTGCATGCCAGTCCTCTGCAAAGAGCTTTTCAGTGAGCCTCCATTTACGCAGTCACTTCTCCCATCTCATTTACGCATTCACTTCTCCCATCTCCCTGCCAGTGGCTTCTTGCCAAGGCTCAAACTTAAGCTGTTTGCACCTATGTGTGTGTGGGGGCTTCAAAATGCTCACACACACACACACACATTAAAGCAACAGTTTATTTTGGTGCAAAACATTTTGAAATCTATACATCATTTTTTCATGATACTTATTTTCCACAAATTTTTTGAAGACCCTCATGTAAGTTTTCTTCTGTAGGAATTCAGTTCTGGGTGTGAATCGTCATTCCATCAGTGGCTTGGTGCTTAGCCTGGCAAAAAGTTATGAGCACGCAGACACGGAAACAGAGGTGCCGAGGCACAGGAAGGCATAACCATTGAAGCCTAACGGTCATGATTAGACTTTTCAACTTCTCTCCCTTCGGTAGTGAGCTTTCTGTTCCCCTCCATCCACAGACCTCGCCACTGCCCTGCCCCCAGAAGTGCCGGAGAAAGGATTTCATTGTTGAGCATTTAGAACAAGGTCTCGCCACGTATGCACGCTCACGTAAGGGTTCTAAGTGATAGCTGTACCTTTTCTTTTTGCTAAGCACCTAAAGGTTTTCCTGTTGAATGGCATTCTCTTGCAAAATGCATTTTTGTCTTGTTCAGGAAGGGTCACTTGGAGCCAGCAGGTGGCATGGTGGGTAAGATGACTGGATTCCCACATGGGTGACCGAGGTTCGAGTCCCAGACCCAGTGACTTGAAAATCACACCAGGCTGAGTGTACATCTGTGCCCCAAATCCTGAGAGGAAAATGGAGGAGAAAGGATTGTGGCGTGGTCATCCTCCCCCAGGGGATGATTTCCTATTTCCCCTCTCTCTGTCTCTCTCCTCTCTGGCAGGCACACATTCCCTATGACCAAAGAGAGAGAGAGAGAAAGAGGAGGAAGAAGGAAGAGGCACCTCAGTGCATGTGTGCATGTGGGTTTACTTTTATGACATAAGAAACACAGAAGGTGACAATGATCATTTGGTACCCCACACAGAGCCCTCGACACCCACGAGCTCCGTGCAGTCTGTAGTCGGAGGATTTCCTGGTCAGGGCCCTGTAACCCACTGAAATGATCTGTCTGAGTGCGAAGCAATCAGGACTGGAGTCCTACAACAGAAATGAAAGGATTTTAGTTTTCCTCTTTTTTAAAGGAAGTAGGTCACAATGAGTTGGAGATGCAGCCTTCCAGTTTGGGGGTGCCATCATCATTTCATCCCCAACTATGTCCCAGAATTCACTGTTTTGTTTTACCTCAACATCCGTTTTTATCTAAGGCTCAGGAGGGCCAACACAGACTGCTTTGCCACTTAAAGCGCCCCCTGGGTGTGAGGGTGGCCTTCACCTCACCTGTCGTCTCTCTACCTGCTAAGAACGTTTCTGAGAGTGTCTTAAAGCCACACTAGGGCCTCCCTCCTGTCGGGGCATAGCAAGGCAACTCTTTCGTATCTTAATTGCAGACGTGCCGGCATTCACCAGAACACGCAGGTAGTCAAGCCGCAACCCCTCTCCCCCATTTCTCCTCTGTAGGGTTCGGGGCACACATACACACATGCCTAGTGTGGTTTTTAAGGTGCCAGGGCTTTATTATTATTATTATTATTATTATTAGAGGTTTGTTTGTTTATTTATTATTTATTTATTGCTATAGGGCATGTGTGCTTACCAGAGAGAGACAGAAAACAAGAAATCACCCTCCAAGGGGATGGCCACACCACAATCCCTGCTCCTCCATTCTCCTCTTGGGATTTCGGGCACACACGCACACATGCCCAAGTGTGAATTTTAATGCCGCCAGGTCTGGGTCTCAAACTGTAGTCGACTCTCTGGGAGTCCAGCGGTGTAACCATCATACCATCTGCTGGTCCCTAGGACCTGGATTTGAACTGTGGTAAACCACATGGAACTTGGCTCCTTTCACCATTAGGCTATGGAGCCAGCCCCTGGCCAAGCATATCTTAACACTACGTTTGTTAACACTCTTTTATCAGAGTTCTAAATTGCGTTTACATGATTTTTTAAAAACATTCTAGACTACATTGTTGAACAGCAGGTCTCATACATGGATTTCAGTTTTGAAACTCATCGTCACTGTTACTTTAGGCAAATCACAATCTTTTACTATCTCGACTTTTTAGTTTCTGAAACACATGACAATAGACTACAGCCTTGAATGATCTTTTTTAATGTCCATGTGAAAAATATAACAAATACCATGCTATCATATTATTCTTAACCTTTCAGAATTGTTACATCGTTTGATTTTTTCCCATTCCCTTATTACTGAATGTGTCTGTGGGAAATATACATTGTGAAAGAGGACAAACAGTGAAAAGAAATTTACCATTCTGATATTTTCAAGCATTACCAGTGAAGTTAACTCACCCTTTGTCAGCCCATCCCTGCTAATATCTTTTAAAAAGGCACTTTAGCAAGTGCCTTAAATGTAACTTAAACCCACATTCAGATTTCATTCCAGAGAAGTGGGTTCCATTGGCCTCTCCTTACGGCTGGTGGGAGGGTTCTGGCCTGAGCAGCTGCCCACTCCCTTCCAGTTCTGCAGATTTCCCTGCAGACTGAGCAAGTGTGACCTCGATCTCTCCTCTATCAGCTTTACCTGCTTTTCACTTAGCTCCTGAAATTCGGACACTGTAAGCAGCGAGCCTACACCAAGACACCACTTTTGCACTAAGCAGGAACCTGGACGTTCACCGACACCCGGGCTGGTGACTCACAGCTTCTGTAAGGCGTGGGTGATTAAGAGCCTGTGCTTTTATTTGGCCTGATTCTTTGCCCTCCACGGAGTTCATCTCCTCCACGCGTAAAAGCCTCCTTAACATCAGAGGGCTCTGTGCACATGGGGGAGGGGCTACAGGGAGACACCGAGCAGGCCAAGTGCGTCCAGCAGAGCGCCTGCGATCTGAAAGCGGTGGGGCTGTCTCCTGAAATGCCGCCACTTGAAAGACAGGCTCCTTCTTGGCTATGGACGGCTCACGTGTTAGGCCTCTCCGCGGTGTGAGTGTTGTGTTCCCATAAACCAACATGCCCAGACACATGTTTCTAACCCTTGTCAAGTAGAAAGCCCCAAACATGACATGTGCTCTCCTGGTCTGTCTCCTGGCACTGTGGCCCAAGTTCAGGAGCCTACAACGGTGACCACGGCGACGCCAATGCCATGCAGGTGTGCAGGTCCCCTCCAGCGACGCCAGGCTCAGGCTTTAAGGAGCTGGAGGGCTGCAACATCCTGTTATTTGCAGAAGCTGCTCTCTAGCGAACAAAGGCCATGATCCCACTTCTGGGTCTGGGGTAGAACCTGTGACCTCAGAGATCTGAGGGATGCCATTTCCTAGACAGCACCCCAAAGCTGCTGGCAGCACAGGGCCACCCCTTGAGCAGCGGCATGTTCTGGGGGCAGAGGTGCATTCGGGGCCTCTGGCAGGTGCCCTCAGTGTTTCCTTACGCAGCTCTGCGGGGTCAACGCAGAGCTCCTGCGTGCTAACACTCGTGTCTCCGCTGGAATGAGCCCTGGGCCCGCACTCTGATTTCAGCCGGTGAGAGCACTCAGTGCGAGCCCACGCCAACCTGTCAGAGGTCAGGTCTGCCCTGCCCACGCTGCTACCTGGACTGCTCCCTCTGGCTGGTCTTCCAGCCACTGCCCTTATTCCTGCTTTTCCATGGTGGCATACTGAATGGCTTTCTTTTCACTCCTACGCTGTGGTTCTTCTTTCTTTCTTTTTTTAAGTCTTCGAAATGAGAGCAGGAGCCGTGTTGCTGGTCTGGTCTCAAGAGGTGAACTCCCTGTAGGATCTTCCCTTTGGTTCCTAAGGACTGCAGCCTTTGCAGGCCTCACCGTTCTGCCTGCCCAGCACCTGGCAGGGCCTGGCTGCCTGAGTGCAGGAGGAGCTCTGGGGCCACCGAGTAACCTTGACTCAGTGAAAGATGAGCCGCACTGCGAGAGGACGGGCCTGAAGCAAGAGGGCAGAGTCTACGTGACTAACACAGGCCGACTTCCTCTTTCCTAAGCCATCACATGATGCACTACAATCACAATTCCTGCCTTGTCTGCCAATCGCTGAGGCACTGCCTCACCCTAGAAACCGGCTCCTGTGTGCGGAGGCGCCTTGGAAGGGATCCAGCAGGGCTGCGCGGGGAGGGCAGAGGGTGGAAGACAAAAACAAAGCTATGTTTACTTAGCACACATTGAGGCCAAGCAGGGAGGCTGGCGGCGGGAGACTTGGAGACTTTGGATATGTCAGGAACCGCCACCCCACACCCACACTGGGCCAGCCTAGCCCCCAGGGCCGGGTCCTTTCTCAGCGGGCAGCGGGCGTGCCCAGAATAAGCCTGTCCATCCTCCAACGGGCGTTGCGTTAGGGAAGTTACAACAGCTCGGTGTCGACACGGGCAGTGTAAAATGCAGTAACAGGGAAACGCTCTTTGGAGAAGAAATGCTGTATTCTACAAAGATACCGACTCGGCATGTCTCGGGGCAGGCTCTGTATGTCATTCTATTTTGGGAGAGTGGCAGGCGGTCCCTGAGGGTGTCACAGTGCACACTCACAGGTCCCTGAGTATAATTAGGCCAGGACTCTCTCCAACGGCGAATCATATTTTCTCTTGCTGTTTCGGTCCTGCTTGGTGGGGCGTCTTTCTGCAGCGCAAACCCTGCTTCACCGCCTTGAGCAGGCCAGGTGGTGAGGCCGGGATGCTGGAGTGGGGGGCACAAGGTCTTCCAGGACGATGCCCCAGGGTGGGCTCTGAAGGAGGCTGACGGCAGGGTCGGGTACTCCCTGCTATCGGTGGGGACCTGGCAGGCCTGGCTCTCCAGCGCGGTGAGCACGAGGCAGGAGAGTGTGCAAGATCCGGGAAGGGGGGGGGCTAAAATGGGGCGCGCCTTCTCCGGAAATCCCCAACAGACATCCAAGGTGGGCCTGTAAAAACGCTTGGGGCTGGTGTTTGGGGGCTGTGCCGTTTAGAACAGGTTTTTTCATGCGCTTTGAGCAGCTCCCCCCACCGTCTGTCTCAGGCTGTTCTCTTCAGAGTGGCTATGCCTTTGAAGCACGCTGGCATTTCAAGAGCACCAACTGGAGGGAGACGTCAGCAGGATTTTTCCCTCCGCCTACCGATCCAGCTGTGGGACGGAGAGTATAATTAGTGCCCTGTTCTTCCCACACGACCCAGCCAGCTCGTTCCAGTCTTGGGAAGCTCCAGGCCCGCCCTGGCAGAGCCAGCTTAGTTCCCAGGGGCCGAGGCCGCTGCCCGGCTGGACGAACCACCTGCCCAGGGTCCCCGCCAATCCTGACACAAGAGTGGACACCGGCGTGGGCGCCGGCCGGCGGGCACAACCCCCCGCCCGGGGCCCCCCGCCAATCCTGACACAAGAGTGGACACCGGCGTGCGACCCAGTCCGGTGGGTCAGCGCCCACCCCGGCAGGTGCAGGGCTCAAAACCGCCCAGGCCCCAGCCCGCGCCTGCTGCCCCGGTCGGGGCGGGGGTGGC